ATTTTAATTTGAAGAAGATAATCCCTCCCTATTTTTACGTATTGTTTTCCTATTTCTATATCCATTTCTTCCATGCTCGTATTGAAATCGCTTGTGGACTTGTTCTTAACTGCACAGCAATCTTTTTTCTGGTTTCCGCCCGATTTCCCCTTTAGCCAATGTTGAATTTAATTATTCAACGTATTTCATGGAGCTCCGGAGCGTTGATTGTCTTCAAGACTAAAGTTTTTTGCACAACATCTCGCAAATAATTTTCTAATTGTTTCCTCACTTACTGTAGTTTCATCCCAAGCCATCTTAATCATTTCAGTATCTTCCAATGTATTTTTCTTCTTGTTTTTACTTAGAATAATATGCAGTGTCGTAAATGTTGTTTGTTGACGTCCATCTCTTTACAGTTGATACGCACTTGACCACAGCTTGTAAACATTTGAGTGTTGTATCGTACAAACACCTTTGTCAAAGTTACATATACCCAAACGAGCGATAGAAATGAATGCGTTCTATGAAGCAACCAGTTTCAATACAAAGAATATATGTGTGTTATTAACTGTGGACGTTAGGTGATTACACTCGTTTTAATCCCTTTTTTATATTCATTAAGGATTCAACCTTCGACAATATATCTCGCCATAAGTCATTATAATGGAAAGGAATGCCCATCCGAGACGGAAATAACGAAAGCTTGTTATCGTTGCTTGGTTTCACGAATAGACAAGTTGTCTAGGCATACACGCTAAGCCAGTTGAAGCTCAGAAGTCCACTTTATCGATCCACAGATCTACCCTCTGCGCTATTAGTAACGTTTTCAAAATTTGTATATCTCTGATTTAGGACATTTCTTGCAAAAGTCTTATCATGACGCCTCTATGTCACTTTGGGTACGTTGTTCTGCCGCTGTCTCATAATTGATCTAATGGGATGACGATAACAGCGGAAGAAGAAAACCAAACGCAAGGGTTGACTTTTTTGCGCTGTATGTGCAATTGAGGGGTAAAAGTACTATATGTGCGCGATTTTATGAGTTATTTTTTCGAACTGACACACCAACCAATCCACTGAAACAAATGTTATGCACAAACTTGTTCGAGAGACAAGAAAGCATGTTTTTCCTTATTTTGCTTTTAAAACACCCTAATACAATTATTTTATTCAAACCGTAGGCGTATAAAGAAGATTTAAAAGATGCTTGAAACATTTTTAATAAAAAATATTGAAAATTTAGTCCTTGCGGCACATTTTTCGGAAACTCTTTGAGGCCTCCATGAGGATGACTCATAATAACTTTATCTGAAGTCACAAAAACACATATATATATATGGATTGCTCCTGATCGAAGGATTTAAAAAAAATCTAGGTCTAGTTTCCACGAGGGAATATTGTATGAGCAGGAAAGTTTTAAGTACCGACGTTTCAGTAACACTTTCGAATTCACTTTTAAAGGATCGCATCGCTTTAACAGCCTAAAGGATGTTTCCATTTTGGAAATGTAGTCGCTGTCGCAAAAAGAGAATAATAATATTTACGAAAGTTATTAACTATGTATTTAAGCATTTAAAAGAAAATTTTTGAAAAATATTAAAAATTGGCAACACCGGATCCATTTCGAAAAAGTATCTATTATTTCAAAGGGCTTAGCCTTTGAAATGCATTGCACATAACGCACTCCAAATAAATTTGCAAATGGAGTTTGCTTTGCACTTACATGGGTCAGGTTTATTTTAAGTTTTCAGTATAGTACCAAGATCCCATAATCCGAGCTTTCCCGGCCTCGCGATTTCGCTTAAAGGACGACTTTAGGGTCTAGTAAAGAGAGAACCTTTACTATAATCGTCTCTATCATTCATTCTTGAATATTTGAGGAATTATTTAAAGGGCTAAAAAAAGGTGATACAAAAGCAACATTATCTCTTCATCCAAGGACTTTCTGATTTAAGGGCAAATTTTAATGAAAAAGAAAATCGTTTTTTTGTTGACTTTTAAGTATTTTCGAACGAATAGTAACACAATTTGATGCATACAGATTCGTCCTAAACGAACCATAACTTATCTTTTGTGATTTCATTCATTTATATGTAATAATGTGTTTGTGAAACAATCATTCTTTACTATGCATATACATATAATTTTCAACTGAGGATACCTTTAATCACGTTCCTTCCTGCTTGAGTATGCAAAATCCAATTATTTTGAAAGAATTCCAACTTAATGAGCATGAAACTTTTGTACATGTGTATGCTTTTAAGTTAGGGAAATAAAAATTTTTGAGAAGGTATACGTGCTTTACGCGATTATCAAACGTTTGCTGGCTGCTTCTGAAATGTTAGACACTTTGGAGACCTATAAATTTAAGTAACTTTGCTATGCTTCGTTTCTTTCCTTTTTAAAGCAGGATATAGTTTGCAGTGTGTGTGTGTGTGTGTGTGTGTGTGTGTGTGTATAGATACGCAATGAGTCATCGTGTAACTGAAGTAAAAATTAAAAAAAATAAAAAAATGATAAAAATAAAAAAAACCAATTCCTTTTCCTGGTTTCAAGTTACCACCACCATCATCACTATAACCGCATGATAGCTAATTAAGCATTCTTTTAACTAACCTTTCCAATGACTATGAGTAACTATTTCCGTTTGCATTCGTTTTTTGTCTACTTTTTAGATTTTTACAATGTCGTTTAAAAAATTGACAGTCAGCTCGCTCTCTTTGATATAATGAACAAGTCAGTCATGTCGACGACGTCGACTCTTCCGTACTAATTGACTAAGTAAACAAATAAAACGCTATTTGAAAAGCAATAAATTTTTTAGAAAACCTTTAATAATAAAATTTGTTTATTCTGCTTCTCTTCCCCTCCCCCTTCCCCCCTCCCCAATTTTTTTTTTTTTTAATATAATATTAGAAAACGTTCAACTTTTTGATAAAAGAACGTGAATACTTCATTTAATAAAATGAGTCGTTGTTTATGCGTGTGTGTGTGTTCGGTGTGGGGTGTGCGGTTGTGTGGCTGGCGTGAAAGTCTCACAAACGTCAATTAGTTATAAAAACTTCTTAACAAACTTCGTTCATTAAGAGTTTTTCATAAAACAACATAAACTAAATTTGACGGGCAAATTAGCTGGCATAGCGTATGCTCTGGCGTACAATGAGTTAAGGTAGACCGTTTGATACGTGTCACTAACTATATAGATCGAGTTTACACAACTATTGCGAAAGTAGCAATAATAGTAATTTACATGAGTTTTGTGTGCACACGCCCACACACACACACACACACATATATATATATATACACAAGGTGAAGTTATTTAGATTTCGTTATCACTTAGAGCACGCGAGATTTATATAATTGAACGGCATGCAATGATACGTACGGATAGTGTTGGTTAGCAGCACTAACAGTGATGACTTACAATGCTGAGATAATAAAATAAATAAAATTTAAGAATATTTGAAAGAAACGTGTCACTCAACACTCTTAAGTCATTACTTTAAACATTGCAAATTTTAATATTAGTTGAAATTTTCAACTTTGAGAAGAGTGTTACGAGAAGAGTGTTACGCGAAGAAGTGGAGAAAAACAAATTACAAAACTTTAATAAAGCATTAATAAATTTTAAATAATTATATAATAAATAACTGGCAAGTTAGCTAGCAGTGATTTCTCAGCTTAAATGAAAATTCATTTATTAATTATGTGCCTGCGATCTAAAATTAAGCATACTTTTGATCCATATTTAAAGCCTGTATTCTTAATAAATATCCTGCAAAAAGCGTTGCGTCTGACGCGAAACGTTTAAGCAAATCATTACTTTGTAAATTATGCGTCTGGACCTGGATTTTCGAATCTCCTTGATTTAGGCTTCAAGTCTAAATGGTTTCTATTTTTCATAGCAAAAAAAAAAAATTAAGGGAATCCACGCTCACGGATTACGGTGTTTGAGGCCACTAGTCTTTAATCCGAAAAAAAAGAAAAATTGATTTTCTAGAACAAGTTTCATGCTCAAAGCATCAAGGAGTACACTTTGCTCGAATTTGGAAGGAGTATCAACATCTTAAGATATTCCGCTTATGCTTAAATAATGACTTGGCGATGCTTCCTCTTATCATTCGCAATACACTTCACTTCACTAGCGGCCTTAAAATTATTTATCATACAGCTTCTACCGACACTAAAACTAATTCGATTTGACAATGCAGTCGCCGCGACATTTTTGAATAAACGATAAACGACTTGAAAGAGTTTTTTAACAAAAAAGTTTACACACCTTTGATTACCGGCCTTCTTCTGGCAACTTTATGATTTTGGTCAAGAATTTTTGTAAATTAATGGCAAAGAATTGGACAAAGAATTTTGCCACTCTCGAAATAAATGGAAATAACATGAAGGCTGTATGAGTTACACCGTATCATTTCTCAGTTTGGTATTGAGAAACATGACAAAAGTTCCAAATGAATTGCGCTAATTTGCATAGTCATACTCGCACATAACTTTTTGCGATATATTACTTTGGGTAAATTTTGTTTTTTTTTTTTTTTTTGTAACTACTTCCTCGATCCTCAGATGTTGTCGATACATGTCTTCATGGTCATCTGTATTCTTGAAAATATGCTAAAATACCGATCGACTTAGCAACTCGATAAAGTTGTCGCCATTCATTTCAGCTTAAGACTTGCTTCTCTTTAAGTTTAGCCATTTTTGAATGACGTTACTCCATACTTTATTAATCGATCCCACAACTCTTGAAAAGTATCCAAATTATAATTAAATTCTTCGTTTGATCATCAACTCATACTTGCCTCGATATGTCAACGACTGTCAAATATTTAAAATACCTTATATTCACTGCACTGTTTAGTTCAAAATACGTCTGCTGTGGCGACCCATTCGTCATTTTATCTGTGTCAACTCTTCACACAATCTTCGCCAATTATATGATAATTTTTCTTAATTTCGTTATTATGTTAATTACGGTTGTCGCTAATCAAAGTGCTTTGATCATGTTAAAATAAAGAACATGGAGGTGAAACGGCCCTAACACTCCCTTTGTAGTGGAGAGCGGTTTTTTTTTATAGCTTGGATATCAACATCGTAATATTAGCATCGTGGTAATAATAAGAAATATCGCAAAGCAAAAATACTTTTCCCAGTAACGAGCATGTCGACAGCATTAGTGCTTTGAACAAACGAAAAGGGATTCTTTTCTTGAGTATTGCGGACATAAAAGTAGCCGATAGTCTATGTGTGTGGTGTGCCAAAAGGGCTGCGGTATTTCAGCCGTCCACCCATACATAACTATACCGAAACCGGTTCGTAATAAGTTAGAAGCACTCGCCTCAGAAGTGCTAGCCCATGCGGCTTATACACCAAGCTCGATTCCTACCGTTTATCACTTATTTGCATCGATGGGGCACGAACTTGTTGAGCAGCGTTCAATCTGTTACAAAAATCTACAAAACTGAAGCAGCGATAGCTTGTGTTAAAACAACAAGTGTGTTTTTGGTAGAGCATCAACCAATTGCCAGAAAGTTGGGAAAAATGTCTAGCTAGCCATGGGCGTACTACTTTGAATTTACATATTTATTTTCCGCACGAGCTTTCCGGTTTCGTAAATACATAATTGACATTTCTTCGAAAATAAAAGAGCAGTCTTTCGAACTGCTATAAAGGAATGGTTTACACGATTAAGTTTCATAGAAGTGGCAACTTTCTGCAAGGCTTTGTGAAATTTTGAGACTAAAAACTTTAAATATTTCGTTTCTAAGTCTGAAAAATTAAATTAAAGGGAAGTGAGTAAGTAAAAGTTTGCTTTTGCATGTCACGTCAAAACTGATTTTAAAGTAATAAAACCAAATAATATCTCTCACAGCTCATCTGTAATCGACAGGCTAATCAATATGTAACCGATGGTATGGACGAAGAAGGACAAAAACTATAAAATTGACAAAAGCCCCCCGCAATACTCATGATGACGGTGGCAGACAGAGAAAGTACTTTTTGCTAAGCCTTAAGTTTTCTATTGGAACACAGGTAAGGAAATGGAATGTGGCTAGCGGTTGTTGCCTTACACACACCACTAAGAAAAATAGCAAGAAACAATCAAATTGAACTTTGACATGCTATACTCTGGAGCGGGCGGGGATGAATTCTGCCACTTTTCCACAAGCACTGCGGGCGCCTTTATGGAATATGCATGCAAGTTTGTGTCGTTGGATTTGCTGGAATTTCTAAGTAACGAGCAACAAACCAAACTCTTTTCGTTTTTGATGATAGATAGATAGTCGGTCTCGGGTTACTCTGTGTCGTTCGACTCGTTTTGCTCATTTTCAATATTAACTTTCATGCAGCAACTTCCAAATGTTTTCGCCAAATTGAAAGCCAGGAGAATATTTAGCCATTTAGCGGAGAGACGGACAGACTGAATTGCTCAAATCGATGCTTATCATGAACATATATACTTTAGAGAATCTAATGGTTTTGATATATAAAGAACTTAACGTGGTAATGGTCGGCAAGCGGGGACAAACGGTCGATAGCTCATAAAACTTTTCTACTTGAAGCGAGATATTGACATGATTATTAATCAATTGGATATATTTAATTTATATTATAAGTTATAATGACTTTGCTTATTCGAAAAATCAGAATGGTGAACAAATAATTATTAATAGTCTGCCTCGGTTTACTTTACATATAACGAAGTTATTATAGAAATTTTGCAAAGCTACAACTCCTTCCTTACTCCATTTAAAGTGATCACTTGAAAATCGAGTTGCTTTTATTGTTCAATTTGCCGTTACACACAAATATAGTCAATAATCGGTATGGGTGTGGGTTTACTGATAATGTGGTAAATTCGTTTCTCTGTTATTCTGACGAAAAGCCAAACAAACTCAAATAATGTAATACAAACAAAAGAGATTAAAAAACAAGAAACTAAAGGAAGAAATTTTTTCAACCGTAAGACACACAAAGAATAAGGAAAACGAAAAAAAAAAAAGGAAAAACGAAAAAGGAAAAAACAAAAAATAAAAGAAACGAAATCACAACTCGAGGTGACAAAAGCAATTGCATGCATAAGCTCAAACATGAGATTTTCGCCCGAAGATTATCAAGACAGTTTACTGTCGACTGCTTGTTTCACTATCATACAAGAGCAGCAATAGCAGCAGCAAGCATGCGACAAAAATAACGAAAACAGCAGCAGAAAAATGAAAAATACACAAAAAAAAAAAAAAAAAAAAAACAAATGAAGGAAAGATTAAAACGAATTCAGAATCATCAACAGGTATGATATAATATAGACAATGAAAATATTATAAAATGAAGAAGAAGTCGTAGGTCGGAATCTTAATAAAAAAATCAAACTATGATCGAAAACTATCATGAATTTGCTAAGAAACCGCGTACCATAAAGTTAAAGGTAAGCTACATAACCTCGGTTAAAACATGCTCGATCCGAAGCAAGATATACTGTCCTCCATGCGCTTTAAGCAATGAGACGTGAATGCAATCTGTTCAGAAAGCGTAAGAAAATTTTTCTTTTTCTCAAATTTTCAAAGGCGTTTCCACCCAAAGCCGTAGAAACATGAATGGATTTATTTTTTCGCATATTTTTCATTGGTGTTTAGAATATTAACTGTTCACATACGCAAAATTTCGCTTAATTGCTTCTGTGGCAGCAATTTGATTCTTGGAAATGTGGTATAATCGCATGGGACTAAAACTGAAATGTGCGTTCATAAAAAACGATTTTTTTTTTTTTTTCACATGTTTGAATACGACAGTGCATAAGAATGGTGCACAGTCCGTGTATGATCGTTATATGAGTTTTTTCTCTTATGAGAAACACGGTCACGCATGCACCGTAAAATGTTGATATCTTACCGATTCTTACGGTTATGATTACCTGACGAAAAGCAGATTACTTAGCGATGATACAAAGAGAAAAGGAAAAACGTCATCAAACAATTTTCGAGTAATCTCTTAAGTCATGCCTTACTCGCGCCATTGCTTTTTCCAATTAAATCCAGTTTTTGTACATATTCGCGTTTCAAAACCATTTGACGGGTAAAAATTGATCATAATATGCTAAATCGATTGTGCGTAGACGATGTTTTTAATAATCGTTCTAAGTTTTTCTTGGGAATTAACGCAGAAAAATGTTCAGAAAAATTCAAGTCTTCAGCGTTTTCAAAATGACTTAATAGCGAAGTTTTGTTATAACAGAATACTTGCTTTTCTTTTTCTTTAAAGATTTTTAGGAAAATTTTGATGGAAATTTAAATCATAACTTAATATTTCCATGACTTACATATGAAATGACAAACTCGGTTTACCTTACCAATCTGCGGTGAAGAAAATAAACGAAAAAAACAAAAAAAGAAAAAGCAAGTCTTCACAATGCACAATCAAAAAAATTGCAAAAAACTACGCATGTAAGTATTGTAGATGATTGTACGCGTTTGTGTAGGTGTATATCAGCATAGATATATTCACATTTATATGTATATGTATGTATGCGGTTACACATATTACTTTTTATCCTACGAAAAATTCAAAAGAGACTTTATCAGACTGAATGTAAATTATGTGGTTTATTGTCAACTCTCAAAAAGAATATCTTATGGTAAATATGTACATATATACATATATGTCAGGTAACTAAAAACGCTATCGCCTTTTACTATTTATAATACACTTTCATACGGTATGTGGATACTTCTTTTCAATATTAGTAGATCAGTTGGTTATTCATTTTTTGCTCTCAAGCATTACTTTATGCTTTTTTTGTTTTTTTTTTCTGCATCCATTGTGAAGCATTAGTATTAGTATTAGCTAATATAATTTGGAAATGGTTCTATTGGATATACCTAATAAAAGATTTGATATTATTTAGCTTAGAAGTTAAGTTAGTCTTCAAGTAATGTACAACGTGAAAAACATGAAATGGTGAACTTTTGGAACAAAATTATTTTAAATTGCAAGAAAAGCGCTTCTAAAATATAAAATAACTCAGTGCAAGTAGCAAGCGTGTACTGCTGCACGAACGAATAGTGCTACAAACAATTCTGTTGCCATTTTTGCCATTCCGTGTGCCATAACAAGCTCCTAATAACCTATGCTTTTATTCAATTAAAATTTATCAAGAGATAATATAATATATATAATAAACATATAATATTGTACATATATATAGATAAGAAAAATTTGTGTAATCTACGGCGAGAATGCTGTGAATGGATGAAGGACTAATAAGTAGTATGCTCGATTCTTTTCCGGAAATTTCGATGTCAAAGATCTATTTCGCAATCATTGAAAAACTCGATGAAATTTTGTAACTAGTGGAGCAAGACTGGCACGGAAGGTTACGAAAAAGCGCAGCACTAAACATCAACCATATGACAGCTTGAAATCATTCTAAAAGAGCAGGCTACGAAAAGATGCTCGAAACTGCCCATTATTCTATACGCATACGTAGCATATCTATATATACTGCGAGGTATAAAATTACAATCACTTTTATATTTTATACCGATGGATTAAGCTCGCTTCCGATTCCGGATGTCCTCACAAGCAAATTTCTTTTCTCGGCACAAGTTCGATTACGGCTTTTAGGGCGAGTGTTATTTACGTCGGTTTTTTGCATATTATTTCACAAAAAAAGAGGCTTAAACTCGATTGAGATCTCTAGGCTTGGGGATGACTTAGTTTAGTTTAGGATCTTATTCGATTTAATGAAAGGACACTGATTCACTTTAGCTTAAGGTTTTATTCACTGTTTGTATTACACTGAATTGGTCTTACCTTATGGTTTTCGTACTCGAAAGTTTTGAAATATTTAAACAGACCAGAGATTATTCATTTGACTCGGTTGCCCCCATGATGGCTGAGAAACTTTTTTAATAATTTACATAGAGAAATTCCACGGACATCTGGTACTGTTGGCTGCCCCATTGAGAAGATGCAAGAAGAACGGAAACACTCTATTCTCTGACTCGGACTTCCAGACATTCATACTAAGTTTGTAGGGGCTCTTCTCTCTTTTCAATTAATCGCCTATAAGATCATAATAATCGAACGAGCTTGCCTAGTTGTAATAAACGCAATCATTCTAAGTAATTAAATATTGTCAAAAAAAAACTTTCCCCGAAACAAGCTTAATGCTTACATCTGCACTGTTGCAATGAATTTCTCCCGCTCCAGTGTTAGCAGCGAAAATTCTTTTATCCATGTGAAGAAGAATAAAAGAAGGACAACTGAACTCGGTAGGTGGCCCTGAACCAATGTTCTCGCTGGAATTAGCCTACCAAGTCCATTTCGTTACGATATTGTAACATCTATTTCTGACATATTCAAATTCAAGTCAACACTCACTGACAACATTTCCAATAGGGGCAATATGAACTTAACAGTAAACCATTTTTGTTCTTTCCGCAAGATTTTTTTTAATAACCTAATGTACGTATATTGATGCAAATGCATTTGTCTACGCCTCTCCTACTACAGATATATGGCAACTTGTACTGGCTATAAAGATTCTTATGGCAAGACTTTAATGTGAACAAATTAAAGGAGATCAATTGTAACGAAATTAACGAGCCAGCAATTGATTAAAATAATGGGTCAAAGAATTAATTAACAGAATGTTGTGGACATCAATTCATGATAGTACCATAAAATAGACGAATTTCAGACATTCAAAAAAAAAAAATAAATAAATAAAAAAAAAAATATGATTATTTTCTTAACTTTCACATCTATTCATATATAATAGTTTGCGGAAAAATTATTTTAAAGCTAAAGAGTGGAAAGAGCGGGCTAAAAGGGAGCAGAAAAGAACTAGATGGAAAAAGTTTGATTTGTACAGAGCAAGTAAAGCAAAGAAATGCCAAACATCAATATATACAAAAAAATTTTACGAAAAAAAAAAAGCAACCATAACAAATAAATTTTCTTTACTCTGGCCAAAGCTTGGGGAATAAATTCCTTAAAATAGAAGAATTTCGCTTTTGCTTGCGCTTCACTTTTTTTTCTTTTTTTGTAATTTTTCTTTTTTTATCAATTTTATTTTTTCTAGCAATTTCAATAAACAATTTTCTCCCAACGGGCTTTAATAAATTTCTCAATTCAACATCGGCGTTGTATATGTATTTCGACGTTAGTATGTCTATGTAGAACGTGATATATACGCACAACTCTCTACAGAAGATGTATATGTATATATATATAACTTGTTTTATATATAATATACTTTAAAAGTCCATGATTTATATATGCACCCAGCCTCATAACAGATGCTACAAAAACTGCCAAAGTTTCCTCTCACTCTGTTAGTGTGCGTTTATGCCTGCCTGATGGTTTCTTTTGGGTTTTTTTTATTTTTTTTTTATTTTTACTTTTTTATTTTTTTCAAGTTTTTTCAGTTTCTTCTTCTCCTTATAGTTCTTCAACTTTGTACTTCAACTTGAATTGGAGACATTCGGTAGTGAAATTGCATGTATGAGTGTGTTTGCGGGCGCGCGGAAAGAGAAAAGTGGTATGTGGTAAGCAAGCAACAAATATACATTGAAAAGAGTAAATATTTGCTATAGACGACTGAAGCTGATGGAACATTAACGCACAACCATATTATACCACGCAGCCTCAAACCCAGCCAACCCCATAGCATATAGCAACTGCGAACCGGCAACTGCGAACCGGCAACAGCCGTGGAAACAACAATAAGAAAAAAACTAGCAAACATTTGTGGTGGCACGGTAGCACACAAGCAAATGTGGCGTAGCGCTATATTGCATCGCCTTTGCTTTTATCGAATGCATTCGCCTTTGCTGGCAAACTAAGATAAGAAGGCATAGTTTTACTTTTATAGTGGCAAACTTATACATACTGTAAACTAACCAGCCAAGCAGCCAACTTGTATGCATACATAGCCGAACACAAATACAAATAAAAAGTCGACAAAGAAAATATTGAGCTCTTTGAAAATAAAATCGAAAATACTTTCATTGCTCAAGCCTGTCATGCAACAACATCGTAATCAATTGGTTGAACGAATTAATTAATTAATTGTTTCCGACAATATATCGTAATTTCCTGTCTATAAGGCATCTATGTTTTCAACTTACACGATGAATGCTTCAAGACGTCTCAATTTAATTCTCGGAATTTCTAGCGACTTCATACACTGTGCATTTCCCCTGAGAGATGCAGTTGTTTTCAGAGTCAAGACATATGATTTGGAGACTCATAGTTTAGTTTCCGAAAGTGCTGATGTATGCTTGAAGAGGGATATGGCACACGTCCTACTTCGAAAATGTTGGATCGAATCGAAGGAGACATCACAAGCCTGACGCCAATTTTTATCGATAATATCTAAGCGCGGGTTTTAGATCGTTTTAGACGTGCAGTCGTTTAAGTTGTTCACATCTTACTGCCTGAACTGTGGAAGGATTTTGTGATGCCTTTGTAATCGTAATAAATTCTCAAGAAAATTCTATTCCAATAGGTCTTCGTCATAATGTTCGAGCAAGTCCCCATCTTGCGGCCTACTTTTCACTTTTTCACTAAATAAACGGCTCGAGTCCAGCAAGCGTCACTAGGAATTAATGGAAGTTAAAGGAAGTTAAAACTGGTAAACTCATTTTCATTCTTTTGAAAGCCATTGAGACGCTCGTATCATCTTGGAGGCTGACATTGTCAAAATGATTCGGCAATGACTGCTAACAGATGTTCAGCTCTTTCTGTTGCCTATAAGGCGCAACAAGAGGCATTTGTCTCATAAGGAGCAGTGTTGCGTGTGCCGAAACAATTGAACTCTGTATAATGCTTGAAATGAAATTGAACTTGTAGAGCATTTATGGCAAATAACAATACCTTCGCGAATATATTACTTCTGAGACAAGGAATATTAAAGGGTTTCTTTGTATATTTACTGACTTCCAGCGCTAATCGTCGTCAAATAAGTTTCAGCGTGATCTGCTAAATTTTATCAAGATTACCGTTTAATGTAGGCTTAAAACTTTTTAGACTATCTTATATAATGTATGGATAAACAAAAAACGCATATATAGGAAACGTTACGTTTTTATGCAACGAACAGAGACATACAGTTTAATATTGTCTTTAGCTGTTGAGGTAAATTAAATTTGTAAAATATGTATTTTTCTCTACTTTGGTAGAAAGATGAACAAAAATAAAAATAAAAAAAAAAAACGTATAAAGGAAACTAACTCAAAAACTTTGGAGACATTTTATTCGTTTGAAACTACGGATATAGTAAAAATCTTGGCACACAAAACTATTAATTTTAAGCAAACATACATAGAAACACGTATGGATATGTGTAATTATGCGCACACACATAAACAAACACACACGCATCTGTTACAATTCAAATAAATATTTAAACCAACATTTCACACACACTTCACTTACGTTTAAAACCAAAACAAACGATTTCGAGGGGCAAAAAAATAAAAGCAACAAAAAGCAAAAGCAAAATGCGAAGAGAAAATAGAAAATAGAAAAAATGGCAATGAAGCATCATTTTTCGTTTCGTATGTCGTTTTGTGTTTGTCTATACATAAATTCTACCACATAATTTGGCAATCACGTTCAATTAAAGAACACAATTTCACAACTGCGGTTTTCGTTTATAAACAATATGAAAATATGGCAATAATAACCCAATCGTAAATGCATTCTCGCTGTTTAGTGCAAGAGTAACTCAGGATCTAAAAGTTTTTACACATATATAGCGTATACCATAGCAATAATATATAACAAGCTCAACAACTGAACAGTTTTTCTATTGCGTATGAGTAATATTTATTCACGTATATATATATATATATATATATATATATGCATATATACGTTCATGTTTATATACGCATTGAATTGCTGCCAAATATATGTATATATATATATATATATATGTATATAGATATATATTCATAAACACATTATAGACTGTTTGGTTATAATTATAATGTCTGAAAGATAGATCGCCGCTATATATAGTTACAGAAATGTATTTTGTGCACTAATAAGTATGCGTTCATAAATGCGTATTAATTGTTGGCTTAGTAGTTAAAAGTCCAATAACGGAGAATTGCTCATTGTTTCAATAGTAGATTCGCAACCAATTAAAGTGTTATTACAAATTTAAAATAATTACAAACAAAGTGGAAAATAACGAAAAAAATGAAATTTTAATGACGACTGGTATGGTAGTCGATTCGATTTGTATAAAGAATTGCATAAATTTGCCATTGAGTCATTACTGCCAATAATTCAGTTGCAGTTCGTTTAAAATGTTCGATAAGCATAAGTTCATATATTATTGAGAAATACTTTTTTAAAATGAATAAAATTTCACCCTTCATTACTATCGTTTATAATGCGTGTAAATTATTGAAAATAAATAAAAAATAAAATGATTCGTCTTCAGAATTAATTTAGATTATATGTATTAATGGTTTGAACTATTATCGGGAAGTTTGTTATTGTTTGTGACGATCTAGATAAGACATTACGGTTAGAGGTTATAAGCGTACACGTATTTTCATATATACAAGCTCGTTTTTTTATTTTGTCTTTTCCTTTTAGTTTAGTTATTTTATATATATGTGCATGTATGTTTAAATTAAGGTTTTCTTACCTTTTCTCTCTTACATTAATTTAAAATGCGTTATTTTTTTGTATAATTTTACATTTTAAATTTTCGATTAGTTTCTGTTCGGGTGATAGGAATTGGAGCTGAATATGTGCATGTAAATTAAAATATAAACAAAACGTTTTATATTCCAACAACTGCTACAAATTAAAAATTATTCACGTTTTTCGTTTTTGTAAGATTTTTCCTTTTTTTAGTTTGCTAGCATCTACAGATTTGTAGACCTATCCAAGCGGACTTTCAAACCTGGTATACTGTATAAGCTGAGTACCAGCTCATCTATTGGCAGATAGGCAGTCATACCTACACCGATTCAAAGCGTCTGACGGACAATATGTATATCGTCTTCTACATAGTATGACGGTGCTTTATATAACTTATAAATGTGTAAATGGAAAATGAAAATTTTCGTATGTTTAAATAAGTAACAATCATGAATATGCTTTTCTGGTCACTCCCGGAAAATATTATAAGAAAAATATATTAAAAAAAGCAAAATAATTATAGGGAAAGGTAAAACCAATTTAATTTTTTCTTTTTTAAATCTACTTAATTTTCCAAATCTATTTCGACGCCTTTAAAGTAATTCATTGTTATACTTTTTCACCATCTAGCATAATTCATATTATTCATGTAATGACATTTCAAAATTAAATTAATTATACGGGAAGTTGAAAAATGATCCGATTAAACAGTGCCTGTCCTTCCGCTAAAATACCATCAATGTATCTCCAAAATTGCGCTCTGCAGGTTGAAAATACATACGGACAAACGGACAGACGGACCGACAAACTTAGATCGACTCAGAAAGTGATCCTGAATCGATTAGTATAATGAAAAGTAGGTCTGGTCTATCTTAAGCCCTTATAAAAAATATAAAAATAACGGTTTACCCGTGGAAAACTCAAAAATGCCAATTCAATTAATTAATTTGGGAAATGAAAAACATTAGACGAAATATATAAAAAAAAACTCTAAAATAGAAATAAAAAAAAATATATTTTTTTTTTTAAATGAAAAATATTTACGCAAAATATAGTAAGCCAATTAGTGTGTACTAAATTTTTCCATCTGAAGATCCGCTTACAATATAGATTTATTTATATTTTGCTTTTACTTAATCCCTATAACGTCTGAGTTAATTCGAGAATTGTAAATTCGTTTAATTTGCTCGAATCTCGCTTTTAAGTGCTGTAAACGTTAATGAATTAAAGTTAAGCAGAACAACGTGCATTTCATATTTCAAATTTGGTTTATTTAAAGTTATTTTCTTTTTTTTTTCTCGAAAAGCGTCGAACGTCGAACGTCGAAAACGTGTAGTCTGTGTACCCTATAAAGCAGGGGATAATTAAAGAAAACATGATATATATTTTTGCAAATAAACTCACTAATCAAGTCATCCACAGAAAGTTTAAATAAACTATGTAAACAATTAAGATAGAACAGTTAAGTTGTTGTCATTTAATTGCTTTATAAAAACATAAAAAATCAAGTTTCACTTGAAATATTATCCCGTCCTCGGCTAATTAAGCAGATAAGAGCAAAGTTTTAGGAGTACCTGCTCTGACCAATTAACGATAAAATACACAAGGCAGTCTGAATACGAAGCCTTATGTGTTGGCTTGAAAGAAACCAGTTCTCACTTTTTATGGTGCCGACAGGAAAATATTAAATAGTTTCTCTCTTATGACAGTCGTTCCAAAATGTTTAAAACACTATTTGAGAAAAAATTAAACCCATTGGAATACTCCGCGTGGGGTTGGCGTGAAAATTGCAGGCTCTTGCAGCTCTTCTTTTTAGATAGAGATTCAAATTAGAATCTCAAGTTATTTGGAAGTGGGAATTAATTTACGTCCATGAAAGTCAGGCACCAGCGGGATCTTTCCTTTTTCGAGTGAAAAAAAACAGCACTGTGTGGCAGCTTCTACCGTTTTTGTTGTTTCTTTTGGAAGTTTTTCAGTACATCCAGTTCTTCAAATGTGCGTGGTACCCTCCTTGGTTTCTTCATAAGATTTCTTTGTTCCCGAATATTTTCTTTTTTTTTATATATATATAACCAATCATCTGGGCGATTTTCTGTATACATGGAAAACGGTAATGTTCAACGGAGAAACGAGAAAAGGAAAACAATTAGGAAATTGTTACGCGCTAGCCCTTTGCCGATAAAACGACATGGAACCGCCTTAACTCACATAGCATGCTTTCCAATTTGCACAGAAAATTATTAAATTTATTAAAAATTTTACGATTCTTTACACTTTTTTTCACGCCTTTTAATTATGCAGTAGCCATCGTGTGTTTAGGAACATTATAGGTAATTGGGACGTATGAGTGCTATTTAAGTAAACCTTAACAAATATATAGCATTACGAGCACTTATTAAACGCTTATCCGCATTACAAATTTAACATACATTAAGTATGCATGTATAATTTAATGTTACTCAGCCGACTCGAACAACTAGATTAAAATGAATCGTTGAATATTCTTCGTTGCGATTTTATGTTTAATATTTAGAGATTTTATAGCCATTTTTTTGTTCTTTTGTAATTTTTTTTTTTTTTCCAGAAAGAAGAACTTTTTTAAATATTCGTAAGGAAATTTTTTCTTCTTCAAATTTCACTGTCGAGAAATCGTTATATTTTCATTAAACAATTTCCGAAACTTTAAGAGAAAGTTTTTTTATACAAATTTTTCGAACCCTTAATTGAAATTGTTATAATTCACACTACTCGAGTTACAGAGTGTACTAAGTCCTGCAGATGTATGTAACGTTCAAGAGAACTCGACATAAACCTTAGGTTTTCATTTTATGGATCGATTCAAGTTTGTCTATCTGTCTGGTCATTACTTCATGTACATTTACCCTCAAATTGAATTTTGTAGTTTTCGAAATATTTTAACGAGGCTTAATACACCCACGTGTTTCCTCAAAATATCATGGAGTTACATTGTTCGGCATTGATCAAATGAGCCAGCCAATTTGTCTAATTGTTATTACTTCAGTGGCGAAACGGCCTATAATGGCTGGCATAAAATAGACTGCCTCAAGTTTGGAGAACAAATCTCTGTTTTGTGGATTCCACTTCACCTTAAAGTTCCTATGAGAAGTAAGTTTTTATATGTCAACAAGATCTAACATCTGACATGTTATAGTGAAAGTTGGCCCATAGCGGTAATGTAATATAGAAAGTGTTGAATGGCGACCTTTTTCTTTGATTTATAGTAACTAAAAATGTTATCGTGAGCCATGGCCATAGCCTACAACATTTCGGTTGGCAACATTTACTATAGGAACATTTTCTCTTAGAATTTGGTTTTGGGCGCGTTTTATATATCATTGATAAACAAAACAAACGATAATAATATTATTATATTATTTGGAGGCGTTTGCTAGATTTATGAAATAGTGGATAGTTGAATCATGAAGGCAGCCTCAAAATGTTGTCTAGAAAATCGGATTAGATAT